AAAACATGTTAAAACTTTAAAGAACAATGGACTTTAGCTTAAGCATGCGCCCTTTAGCTTTTATCGTTCATGGGATCACTAAAAGGCAAAGCATTCCCTTTACTTGCATTGCAGCTTCAAATGCACATTGTTCCCTTTGTTTTTAGTTCTTTATTTGGTACCTATAATCATTTTATCATTTTTTATAACAAAATTAAAGCCTTATCCCACTAACAAGTTTTGAAATGAAAATTTGTCTACTGCTGTATACAAAGAGCTAGTTTACAAAGTTCTGAAGTTGGAACTATGATTTCTATGTAGCTGGTGAAAATCTTGTCCAATTGTCTAATACACACCTTTCGATGCTAGTTTTGTAAACGCAGTTTAATAAGTTTCTTTGGTTTTGATTGCTAAACCATCTTAATTGATATATATATATCTGTTGATAAAAAAATCATCAAAATGTAGTGACATACAATATGGCTCACATTAGAGCTTATCAGTGATCTTCTTATGGATAACTTATCCTCGTGTATCTATTAAAGAGAAATATTAAGATTCTTCAAGGAATAAATTTTTGGATAAAAAGGGACTTTGCGTTTCCAACAAATTCGTTCTTATTTTAAATATTTGGTAAATAATTAATGGGAACAGAATAAAGAAGAAAAAACAAATTTACTTTCTGTGTTAGATAAAAAGAAAAATATTCCCACTAGACTTATGTATATACTGATACAGTGCATATTTGTCAAATTTGTTTTCAATATCAAAGTAGATTATTCCCAAACAAATGGGTTATGACTTACAAGCTAGTCAATGGTCCCCAATTCCTCTGTCGCACCATTTCTTGTAAAACAGAAATATATGACATTTATAAATTATACATATTCTTTTGTTGACAAAATTTATGAATTTTATTTTTCAAAAAAAAAAACATTTATGAATTCTTCATTTCTATCTAAAGTCGCAAAACTATAATTTTAATTAGTTTTATGATCGGAAGTCGTAAAATTAGTTTCATGGTGGTCAAAAACTATTTGGTGAAAATCGATCTTTATTAATCAGTAGTATTTTATTAATCTGAGTTATTAAATTTAAGAGTTATTAAATTTAAGTATTATTTGTTTTTGATGGAATCATTAAAATGTCATCAACTACGTGATTCGACGATAGATTCTTGATAATATGCGACATGTTTTGATCCCTGCATGTCAACTTTAGTATCTTAATGTCACAAACAAAGAGAAACAAATGGATCTTTCGAAACGAAAAGAATAAGTATGAGAGAATGCTGGTGGAAACTTCAATCTAAATAGAACATCAAGAAAAGCTAAGAATGTGAAGATTCAAAGTAAGGAGACCAATTCAATTTTATTCCTCCANATACTATACTACGTACTGTTTTTGTTTAGGTTTAGTTGACCGAATTATCTATTTTAGCTACACACAT